CTCCCTCCCTCTATATTCTCCCCCTCACTCTTATCAACATTGTCCTTTAAGACTCCTCCTGAGCTGTCAGGACTGACTCGTCTCATTGTCTGTGCCGCTCGAGTAACGATCCAGACTTCAGTCCATGTCGGCTCAGCCTGTCCATCATCAGCAGTCTGAGCACATCGTCCTCCTCTGTGTCTTCATCTGTGGAGTCAAACTCATGTTTGATCACTTCATGAAGTCAATCAGCAGCAGAAGAAGACAGTAAAGACATCCGTGTTTGAAGCAGATGGTGTCTGGTGTCTTAATATAACCCAGCCTGTCTGTCAGTCTGCTCGGTGCTGATGACAGACACCTGACTGTGAGGCCGTCTGCTGCTGCTGCTGCACTCATTACACTCACACTCAGCCTCCAGGAACAACACAACTCTAACACGTCATCAACATGATGAGCCTGCACGCTTCACACAAGCATCTGATGAAACAGTTACACTGGAGCTACTCAATCAGTCTGATCACTTCACGTCACTTAGTCATTGCTGATTGGCTGTTTGCACTGTGGGGGTTTTAAACACCAACAGATCACCCTGGAGACGTGATGTGATGTGTTAGCAAACAGTTTGCTTCTTTAACAGCACAGTTTTTATCTGCAGTGTTTTCTGCCGACTAGTCAGAGTAAGTCCATTTTAACTCACCTTTGACCTCTGCTTGGTCTCAAGCAGGTACTGGTGGAAACATCTGGCTATTTGGCTACAAAGTCCTTCACAATGTTCAGCAATTCTCTGATTAAGTCTGCCCATTGATTGATGAAAAGGTTGTTTACTGATTCTGTAAAAAAAAAAACTCACTGTGAAAAAAAGGTGGACATATCCAGTGTGGCTCCTCAATGTTTTAGATATTTTGGCTGTCAGCATCTTGTTTTTAAATTCCAGATATGACCATATTTGGACAAGAGGAGGAGCTTCTGCCTCTATGTGGTTGACGCCGCACAGTAAAGAAAGACCTTGTTGTTTACAGTAAACATAAAAAGTGAAGTGTTCATGCTGCCTTAAAATTAAACTTAAAACAGACTGAAATTAATATCCAATTCTAAACAAAAAATGCATACATCCCTCCCCTTTCTCACTTGTCTTCTATTAATTCAAATTATTTCAACAAATTCTTAGATTCATTAACAACTAATATACCAACAAGTGTCTCCAGTTAATTTGCCCTTAAAATAAATAAAAAACAATCCCAGTGTGTTAACAATCCGGATATCCACCCAGTGTTACTAAATCAATGGAATCCCCCTAAAACAACTTTTCCTCCTCATTTATCTGCCTAACAGTTCTCTTTGTAAAGTTTTTTATTTAATTGATTTATATTTGTGCTTAGTTTCAGCTCATCACCCGACCCCTTCCACAAGTCCGACCCGTAAACTGAAGTACACAGACTCTTCTAAAACACGTTGTTTTTAAAACCAAATGTTGCCCAAAAGTTCCACTTCATAGCCACTTAATAAAATGTCATCTCAACTTTCAGCTTTTCTGTAAACTTAACAAATAATTAAATTAAATGTTTGCTGAGATTTATTGCCCGGTGTTACTGGGGCTGATGATGAGACTCTTCGCTACCAGGGACGGGTGTTGCAAATTAGCTATAAATGCTGTGATGCTAGCACTGGATGTCTGTTTTCAGTTTGTAAATCTGTCCCCAACAAATAACCCATACATAAATAAATAATGTTGTTTTGTTTCTGATACTCAACATAAAACCAGAGCAGGATTGAACTTCATGTTAGTATAAGATTCTGACATGAAGTCGAGCTAACAGCAGTGTGTCCATTTTCCTGTTCAGCCTGTTTCAACATATTTCTATGAAATGTTTTTCAGGGTTAAAGTCTGAATTAAATGTGTTTTAATCCTCTTTGCGTTCAGGTGACAGAAAGCCAGCGCTCTGTTTTATTAATGTTCTGACCTGAAGAGATGCAGCTGAGATGCACACCTGAAGCTTCTGCACGTTACAGCTGTGAAGGTGTTGTAAGGATCTGGTTCACAGCAGGGACATGAACCCGCTCTTAAATCCAGGGATTGAGGCTGTTTGAAGGGATTAGAGTTTGGGTATATATACGTGTAGCTCAGGAAGGCCTCCTTTAGTCTTACCTCTGACAGACAGGGATGGGATATCCCCAAACCATGTGTGTGAAATTTTCATCTTTCATTTTGTTGTCACTGTGTCAAGAGGTAGAATTTATCTACATTTAACATGTTCAGACCAGAGTTCATCATCATTTCCAAAGACTCTGACACATCAAGCAGACGGCAGAGAACAGCTGGCGATGAAGGCCGCCTCACGTCTTGGCCAAAAAGTTGAACTAGAACACACCACAAAGATTACCGCCGACGTCCAACCACCGTTGCACGTTCTGCACATGCGTGAGAGGAAATGACTCAATAAACCGATTCAACATGTCAGATTGGCCATAAAAGTCCAACGGGGGCTGACGGGTAGCGACGGAGCCGGACACACCAAAACAACGAGGGTGACCCCGCTCACTGACGGTCCAACTAGGACTGACGGCCGACGATCTCCTTGGTGTGTCAGGGCCTTATTAAGAATACAGACGCCAGACGTTCAGATACAACAAACACCAACTCAACACGTTCTTAAAGCTCCTGTGAGGAGTTTTTAGGAGGTAGACTGAAAAAAAAAATTGATGCCTTTTTATGAGCAACCAAAGCATCAACAAAGAGACTGAATTTATATAATAATATTTACACTGAAACCTCTGCTGTGGGGTCGGTGTTAGACCAAGTCATTAACAGCATGCTACAGAAACAGCTTTTATTTGAGACTTTTTGACGAGTTGTGCATTTGACTCTCACACAGGGTGAGATTATTTGCTTTAAAACATGACTGTCTCATGTACTGAATAAATCAGGAAAGAGATCAGAGATCACACTTTGTCCACCAGGGACGCCAAAATCAACACAAACCAAACGTTTCTCACAGGAGCTTTAAGTATTCTGATGCTTCAGCTCTGATCTCTTTGCTCAGTAAAGGGTGATTTCACAAAGTCCTGTTCATTTGATCAGTGTGAACACAAACGTACCGTATTCAGGTACCATGTCAGAGGACGCTTGAAGAAGTAGTCTCGGGCACAAAATGTGTACTCGAGTACTCGAGAGGGGAGGAGTGCCTTATATAAGAACGGACTAAGACGATCCCCAGGCTGGAGCAACATGCAGGAATGAATGTGTGATAATACAGCTCTGGATTAAAAATAATAACAATAAAAAAATGTCTCATTAAGCACCTGTCTTATATAATGAAAAAAATGAAGCAATCATCTTCTTCTAAATCTGAAAATATCACATTAAATCCTTAATTTAAAGATACTTACCCAGTTGCCCTCTGGGAGAAATAAAGTTGTCTGAGTCTGATTAAGTTCCAGTTCTGAGTCTTTAATCTTTAATCTTTGGGTCTTTTTTTCCCACTCTTTTATTCTTATGGTCCTACATTGCTGTAACACTGCACTATGAGTTGGTGTCTATCATCTCTTTGAGAACAAAACTGCTCCGCCGTTAAGAAAATCTGCTCAAAGATTTTAGATCTGAGAAACTCAATGAATCACTGTGCAATAAAAAGATGGCCGACAACTTTGTATTTAACACCAACCAAGTTCTGAACGGTATCATCAAATCCAAAATACAAGTTCTTAATGTTGAATAAAGTCAGACTTATGCACTCATTTTGAACATTAGTCTATCCTCTAACCCAGTCCTGGAGCTCTGTCCTCTGTGGCTGTAAAGTGATGTGAAACATCTGCATGTTGTGTCTTGTCTTTGTTTTTGTCTCTTCTTTAGAAAGCTGAGCTGCTGAATTTCAGACTCAAAGTGTTATTATCATCATCATCTTCAAATGTCCTCTGTGTTTTGTGTAATAAAATCTGAAACAATAAAACCAGCTCAACCCCAGAGTAAGACCAAAGATCCTTAGAAGAGTTTTAGTTTCAGAGTATTGCAGAGCGTTGCATTAGTGTTGTTGTTGTTGTTGTTGTTGTTGTCTCCTCACACACAGTGACTCTCCTCTCTGTGCTGCAGCTGCTCTGTTCTCAAACACACTCCACTCTATAACATCTTCACAATTATTACTGGATTTGTTTCAATTATGCCACGATAAAAACAATATAATAATAATAATTTAAGAAAAGGGTCTAAAGTTTGAGTCATGATTTATTTTTATTTCCCGTGAAGTAAAATTAATGAAACTGCTTGATGTGTTTAAACACCAGTCTGAAATGTTTTATCTTGATATTTTACTACACAATTCAACCAGCAGGTGGCACTTTTCTTCCAGGTTGTAAAGGAAACACAGCTGTGCACCTCCATCCATCATCTATAGTTCTTTTCCCGCTCAGGGTCGCTGGAGCTGATCCCAGCTGTCATTGGGCGAGAGGCGGGGTTACACCGGTTGCCAGCCAATCACAGGGCTGACATATAGAGACAGACAACCAGCCACACTCACATTCACACCTACGGACAATTTAGAGTCAGCAGTTAACCTAACTAGCATGCTTTTGGACTGTGGGAGGAAGTCGGAGTACCCGGAGAGAACCCACACATGCACGGGGAGAACATGCTAACTCCACACAGAGAGACTCCTGTCAGACGGGGATTCAAACCAGGAAACTCCTCGCTGTGAGGTAACTGTGCTAACCACTGCACCACTGTGCAGACGCAGATTGAAATGGTAAAAGAAAATGCTATTTCTGTGTGTGTGCTTGTGTGTGCACTTAACACTTGTGTCCACCCCTGCAGAAGTCTGAGGCAGAGTTGAGAAACCCCAGTCAAAATAATCTGTCTCCACTGAGCGTGCCAAAGTGCTCCACACTGGCCCATTAAAGTAAACACCCTGCCTGTTCCTCTGCTGGTTTTATAAATTATGATAATGAATACATGTGTGGAAGTGTATCTCTACATTTCACATTGCATTCATATTCTTTAAGTTTGTATTCATTTGGACACAAAGTCACCCGAGTGTAAACAACTGAATGGATTTAATGAAATAAAGCACTCAGAGAAACAGCTGTTCTTTGACATTTCAGAGCAGAAGGAAGAAATCATATTTTTTGAGTTCATGAACTTTAATCATGGAGACTTCTTCAGCCTCATGTGGCAGCTCTGAGTCTTTAATCCAGCATGATTGCAAACCTGTCGCATCCAGCAGATTCCCACTAATTCAATTTAATCCGGGTAAAGCTGATGCAGCGGTTGTCATCGTTGTTAGTATGAAGTTTCCCTTTTTTATTATCATGGGTATACTGTATGTTTAAAAACACATTAACTGTCCTAAAGTGAAAAGAGAAAAGAGCGTAAGAAAACCCCTCTTCATCCAGATTGAGTCCAGCGCGGATTAACACACTTATATTTTGTGCAGTCGGCACTTTGCTGGATAATCCGACTGCAGGCCGACAAATCACGTCAAATCCTTTCTGAGCCTCTGACATGTTTACAGCTCTCAGAGAGGCGGACCCTGTCTGAGGTCTTCACACTGTTCACCAGAAGATTCACTTTGAAACCTTATGTCTTCTCCTGCGACCTCCAGTGTGTGTCCATGACTGCACAGTTCATAGTGTGTGTGTGTGTGTGTGTTAGTGTGTTATCAAAGAGTCAGGTGGTCCCCCAACATCAGACAGTGTACAGGTTCCCCATGAAGAACCTCTCTCTGCAGGTACAGTCATTAAAATGTCTTCGACCCATTCAAATCATCATCATCTGGGTAAGTATTCCTGTGGGAGTCTGCTAAAGTTCCTGCTCTGCAGCGCCTGGTCGACAGAGCGGATGAATGGGTCGATCAGGTCCCTCATGTCTGGAGTGAAGGGGTCAAACGAGGGCCTCTGGGGCCCCGAGCGTTTAAAATGTCCGTCCTGGTTGGTCTGAGCGCACAGCAGCCTCTCCTCGGTCATGGAGATGTTCAAAAAGTCTGTGATGACGCGGAGCTGAGGGAGGAGAGCCCGCTGCAGCTCCTCGTAGTGAACCACCAGCAGGCGCCGTCCGAACTTCAACCAGCTGAGAGCGTGAGACGCCCACCAGGGGGCGTAACTTGAGACAAACTCTGGCCACTCTGCGTGGGAAGAAGGAGACCGTTAGGATTGTTTGGATGGTAACTTGTTTGTTAAAGCATCATGTGGTCTTAAAAGTGTTCAATGTGCTGTATGAGCAACATGTATGTAATCAGAGTGACCTGCTTTATTATGTCTCAAAATGCTCAGTTTAATAAATACAACTTTGGTGCACAGAAAATCACACAAATGACTTACAAACTAAAACAAAGAGTAAGACAAATGTCCTCATAATCCACAATCAACAGGACTTTTAATAGTTTGCTGGGGGGGGGGGTCATCTTGGTTTGTTAAGCTTGATATAGAATCTAACTCAAAGCTCTTGTGAGCAACTTTCATGTTGTCTTATTTTTAGCGCCCCCTGTTGACAAAGTGGTATCTCTTCTCTCTGCTGATTTTAAGATTAATTAAGATTAAGATTTATTATTTATTTAAATTACACTCTGTAAGTCATGCAACACACACACAAACTGAAATATACACACATGCACAAACAGGATCCTATGGACATTCACTAATGGAGAGATGTCAGGGTGACGGAGCCGCCCCCGGCAGACGCTTCTGAGCTGGTGGTGGGTAGGGGATTTTGGTGTCTTGCTCAAGTGCACCTCGGCAGTGCTCAGGCACCTCTCCAGCTACCAGACCAACTTCCATATTTTGTCCGCACCGGGACTTGACCAGGCAACCCTCCAGTTCCCAACCCAAGTCCCTACAGACTGAGCTACTGCCGCCCCTTAAATCTTTATCCTGTAGATGTGTAAATTGTGTTCTCTGACACATAAACTTTCACCCTGCTTCTTAAAACCATCAAACTGATCACTTATGGAGAATCTTTGTTGTGGAAAATGTAACAAAGCCGGGTTCTGCAGCGTGATGTTGATTTATGCAAAATGTGATTGTAGTTGGGTATTTATTTTGGCACAGTGCAGCTCTGTGTTGTAATTTTGTTGACTTATCTTGTTGACTTTTTTCCTTGCAGGTTGACTTTTTTCCTTGCAGGTTTATACGTTTTTTCTTCTTTCTGCACCTTTTCGTTCTCTGCATAGGCCAAAGTGAATAGAAAGTATTCCCCTACACTTTGCCGCTTAAACAGAACGGAATAAAACATATGAAAATGAAAATGTGAATTCTGTTGGACATTTACCCTGCAGCGAGGAATTCAGACTTTAAATAAATCAATATGAAGCCAGTTGGCCACATACAAAATCAATTGCAGGATATCATTTTCCAGTTTATTACATATTAACATTCCTGTATCTGGAACAGAAGCATTTCATTATAATTCAGAGAAAACTGAGTTAGATAATATGTTGAGACAACGGTTTATGTGTTAGAATAAGTGATTCACACAAATCGCCTTGGAGAGAAATCTTTAATCCTTCACTCCGGATAGGAAGACATCGATAAGGCACACATGTAAGATATCTGTGATCGACTTTAGCTCTCACACACATGAAAAACAATGCACCACTAATATCTTTAAAGGAAGTACCTCAATAAAATCATTTCAAATGTATTTCTTATATGCATTGATCGCTTGCTCAAACCAACTCGGAGGTTATATGTCTCTTTCTTCATGTGGTAACCATGGCAGTGGATTGTTGAGATCAGTCATATGAATAAAACCAAATCATCCTAGAGTCTAGTGTCTTTAAGAAGTATTTGTCTTTACTATTAAAACATAAATAAAACAAAACAGAAGAAAATAAAATTGATATCTTTGTGGAGTTATATCTCTAGAGCAGTGGTTCTCAACTGGAGGGTCGGGACCCAAAAGTGGGTCGAGGAGTGTTTTCAGTGGGTCACAAATGTGAGCCTTTTTAAACATGTTTGTTCCATTTCATTGTGCTGTCATGTTTGGTACCATCTGAGGTCCAAACCGACAATGTTTTTCATTAAACATATACTATGTAGACTTTTATTACAATATTTACATTAAAATATATAAATTAATAAAAAATGGACTAAACCTATGCTATATTTTCTTTTTGTTGAGTACTTACATGACCTCAAATATTTCCAACAGTTATCAAAGCCACAGAAATCCTTAATTTTATACTTCTGTGTCTTGTTGTGGCGGCTGCCATGACAGACATGACATGTTTATTGTTGCCATGGAAACACCGGATGTTACATGCAGCATAAGGAAGCGGTAGCTGCTACTGAAAGCTGCTGTGCTGTGGCTGTATGTGCTGCTGTGATTAAAAAAAACATCATGTAAATTAAACTTGGAAACATCGTCTGTAAACATATCCTCTTCTTCAGGTGGGATTCACACGTTTGTCTCGACTACGGTCAACATGGAGTTCGTTTCCATCTGGGGTGGGGGGTTGGTGGAGTACCAGAGAGAACATATTTAGTTATGGTATTGATTGAACGCCCCCTAGTGGTGAAATCTATATAATGTGCCTTTAAATAAATTTGATTGGTTAAAAATGATCAGAAATTTGGGTCGCAATTTTCTTGAAGGAGGTCATGAGGCTGGACCAGTTGGGAACCTTTGTTTTAGAGGAATGACAGTCTGTAAACTGTGTGTAAACATATTCATTGATTTCAGTCACTTTTGCTCTGTCTTATAGAGGCACATCTCTCACTGTTCTTATGGTCTTCCTTTCAGGAGCTTAGAGACATTTCAATATCATCCGTCCTGTAAAGATAGTTCTGGAATTAAGTCAACTGGATTAGACAACATGAATAAAACGTTGTCAGCTTTAAAATGTGGATTCCCTCTGTATATTTCTAAAAAGCACAGGCTAAGGTTGATGCAGAGAAACCTTATCAAGAAGATCTAGAAAGTTGAAAAGAAGATGCTGATATGACGTTGATGTAACAGCAATAAAAAAAGCCTCAACCCGCAGTAAACACCACGGACCCGAGCCACATTTTCTTCAAGTATAAAATGAACGCAGTGAAGTCGCTCAATGGACGCTCTTGACATTTCTATGAAAAGCCTGCCCATGTTATTGGATGTGAGGTGGCCAGCAGTGAAGCCCACTTGATCTGTATGAATTAAAGATCAAAACACTCTCTGAAGACGCACTGCGAGCGTCTTTGCAAACACTTTATAATCATTATTCTACAGACTCTCTGGATGGAAATTATCCATCTGCAAATGGTCTTTGAGAGCTTTTTCTATCGGAGAGATCACACAGAGCTCACACTGTGCAGCACGGACTTACTGAGGAAGGTTATCTGCACATCTTTGAAGCGTTTATTAAACTCAGTATGAAATGGTTCCTTCAGATTGCTGCCCTGATCTCTGTCTCTCAGACACCTCTGTCTGAATATTCTGGATGTGTATTTAAACTCTGGCAAAGTTCTGTATAAAAGCACCACTTTCCTTTGAAGCGTTTTCACACTAAAACACTTTAAGTTTTAATAATATTTTCAGAACTTCATATTTAAGTGAAAAGGTTTGAATATTAAAGAGGCCTTGTCATCTTGAATTAAAGGAACTGAGGACGGTCTTGATTTTGTTTGAGGGGCTCATAGAAATCCTGTGATCCAGAGTAACTGGGACACTGTTTCTAGAGAGAGGAGCTCTTTTTTAAATTTATAACATTAAATATATTTAAAGAGATGGTCTGCCATCTGTTTGACTATTCTTAAGTTATACACATCACTAGGAACTGTATAACCAAACATAACAAGCCTCTACAGGTCAATGAATCAGATCAATATTTAAGATTCATTTAAAGGTCTGAATATGAATATAGTAAAAACTAAATATGCCCTATGTAAGTATATTGTGGAGTAATTACTTCCAAAAAGAGAGTGAAGTCAAACTCCCTCTGGATTTGTTGTTTTCAGCTCTGTGTTCACATACTACACTTCCTTCAGCTTGTTTATGTTTCGTTCAGAGGTTCAAACAGGTTTCGTATATGTATTTTAAGTGAACCCCTCCCCCTCCAACCGTTAGCCATGCCAACACGTAGGGAGAAGAGAGATGGCCCCGCCCACTCCGGGGCGTTGTGTGTACAACTGAAGGAGAACCAACAGACTATCCAAAATAAAAAGACAAACAGATAACAACTGAATCAAACTTTGAGATGCATATCGTTACTTGACATTGATCAATTAATCTTGTCCTCAGTTGTTTATTGGCACTCGTCTGCTGCTCTCACTGTCTCACAGAAACCAGAAGAAAATGAATCAGGACGGGAGGAGAGGGGCGGGGAACGTGTGGAGACTGGAGGGCAGGGGGGAGCTGAGGGATGTAAGAAGGTTTGTGTGTAGAGAACATTTGTTGTGATCTGAAAATCTGCTCTGAAAGTCGCATAGTAAGCTTTTAAGGTATCATTTAGGAAAAAGCAACTTCCTAAAGCAGCCCCATGCCAGGTCGTCTTTTCTCTACGGTTTATAGCTCCTCCAGTTCACTTCACTTCATTTTTATTGTACACTTGAGGTGTCAACAATATCATAACCTTGACATATAAAAGCACGACTATCTCTCTGCTTCAGGGAGGATTTCAGAAGATGCATTTATAAATGGCTGAACTGACACCTTTACACATGCTTCATCGCGTCTGTGTAGGAGTCAGTGAATTAACTAATAGGACGCTTCGCTTTTCTCGTTCATAATGAAAAATACAGTCTGTTAACATTTCAATAGAAAAGCTTGCATAGGGCACATGTGCTGTAAGTTCCTGACCGCTGGTATAAAAGCTGTGATGCAGAGTGCAGTGTTCAATATGAGACTGTTTACTGATGCACTCACAGTAACAGCAGGCCCTCTGTTCAGCTGCGATAACATCAGCAAGACATCATGCAGCAGTAACTACAGGAGCCTCCAGCAGAGACCTACATAACAACACCATTAAATCTTTACTGTGCATAAGACTGCATTACCTTTGCTCCTCCACTGCGAGTCGGTGGCGTGTCCTAAATGTCCGGCGCACTTGCGGTTGAATTCGGCCATGAGGGAGCGGTACGGGTTACGTATCAGCAGGATGGCGGAATCAAACATCTCGATCTCCTTCTGACCGCTCTCGTGAGTCTTCACACAGATGCTGCGGCCGCTCTTCCAGTAATCCTTTTCTCCTTTGAAACCTGGAACAACACATGAACATGAAGGAATAAAAGTCCAGTTATGAGGAGGATATTCAAAAACCATGAAAACAGCATGCTTTAAAAAATAAAACAAATAAGGCGCCCCCCCCCACCCACCCCCCACACACACCTCTGTTGTACAGCGTGCCATCGAAGTAGAAGCTGCCAGTGTAGTAGCCGGTCACGAGCTCGATCAGGTGCCGTACCCAGGTGTTCCCTGCACCAGGAAAACTAGACAGAGCCACGAGGGAGCTGGACCGCTGAGGGAGAAACATCCGCTCTTTGCACCTGGAGTCTACGAGCACAGAGGACATGTTGTCAGTTATTAATGAAAGACAAATGCATCAGATGAAATCAGAAAATATGTATAGAGGGAGCAAGCAATGGATTCACTTTCAAAACAAAAGGAAACTGAGAATAAGTCACATGTGATGAAAACTGCAGAAGAATGAAATGTGAGAATTTGGGTCGGGTGTAAATTTGGGAATAACAAAACGCTTTTGAGAGCAATTTCCTCTTCCATCATGTATAAAGGCTGGGCTCAGACTACAGGAGATTTTAAATCCCAAACATTTTTTTTTTAAATCAGGTTGCATCACGCACAGATATTCCTTTTTTTCCCCGTCTCAAACATGAACACATTACAAGATCGTTGTGCGCCAGGGGCAGGGATGTATCAACTCACGCAATCACACAGAGAAGCAGATGTAAACAAATTGGAAACAGACTTTGTTGTAACACCCTGCTCTAGTAGAGGTTTGAAGAAGCAAAGTTCAAAATCATTTAATCACAAAAGCAAAAGCTAATTATTTTCATGGCTAGTGTAACATATCTTTCTGGGGCAAGATACGCACAATTTTACCATAAAACATCACCTACCATGCAGTGCATTAATATTTTGAAGTACACATTGTGCTTTTAACTTGAATTAATGCTTTGTAACTTAGGATGTCTGAAAGGTGAAGATATTTTAAACTACATTGTACATTGCTGACACGAGCACCCTGTGTCCACCTAGCTTTTTTTCCAGGCAGAAAGGCGCTGGCTGGTCGCTCGGGAACGCTTGCAGAAAATTGCAGCACGTTCATCCCTGTCTCCATGACAACAGTCTGTTGACAACGGTCACAGTATTACCAACACTGATCTCTTACTTTTTACTGAATATTTTTAATTTTCGATTGCTTATTACCCCGATCAGACATGGAGCAAACAGGATGTGGGTACAAGATATGATCCATAGGCAGCAAAACTAGATGGAATATCATCCATTTGGAAAAGAGAGTTTTGCAGTAAAAACACTAGGTTGACAAAGGACCCAAGGCTTTCTATTTACTATTCTTTAAGACTTAGAGGTACAATGTGCTACATTTTAAACATCAATATAGCAGATATCAAATATAACCAAACTAAATATATTTAGGTTTTAATGACTTTCTGGAAAAAAAGAGTGTCAAACTTCAAACTTCCTCTAGGTTTGTTGTTTTTAGCTCTGTACCCACACAGACAGGACAGAGACTTCTTCAATGCTCAGAGTCTCAAACATGTTTGAAACTGTTTTTTTTGTTGTTGCATAAACCCCTCCCTCTCTGTGTGTTAGCCCTGCCACCACATGGGGGGAAGACAGACGCCCCACCCACTCAGGGACGGTGCTAGTAGAGGCAGCTTTATGGTCTATTGCAGTGCTTCCCAAAGTGTGGGCCGCGGCCCCCTTGTGGGCCGTGTGGGTAGTGCAGGTGGGCTGCGAAAAGCCCTCCACCAATTTTAAAAATAAAATAAATATCACAATAATGATGATTTACCATGAGTCAACACTTTAAGTGATTAGTAAGGCGTGTCATGACTATTCATGGATATATTGTTTAGTAAATTTTGTGTCTCTCTTATAATATCATGCCATAATATCATGTTGTAATGTCCAATAATTTACCCTTACTGAAAGTTTTAGCTGTAGTCATAACATTTTTTTTATAATAGGCCCCAGAGTCAGTGGGAAAGGCTGGTCTATTGTATCTAAAATGGGACCATAATTTACAGACTGAACATCATGCTGTAAAGAGGAAGACTTGCAGCTATGGACCAAGACCATAAACACATCAGAAAAATGTAGTGTAATCAATCAACTGAGAAGTTTTGTTTTTAGATGTTTTTGTACAGTACGACTTCTATTGCAACTAGTTTAGTCGCCCCCTGCTGGTCATCAGGACTAATATGTGTATTATGTATAATATATGTTTATAATATAATATATATATATATAATAATGTATAATAATATGCAGGATTCAGGCACTTCTGCATTGGCTAACCTGTTAAAACTGCGAGGCTGCGTCTGCTTCTTATATTCAGCCTTTGTTTTAATGTGATTGGAGCTTTAAAACAGATTTCATGACTGCCACAGAGTTTGCATCTATAGCAGTGAATTCTCACCCAGCACAGGTGTGTGGTACACCTGGTAGTAGTCGTGCTCAGTGGGGGCTGCTGGTGTGGAGACGCTGGTGTAGTTCACAGCAGTGTTTCCTGCACACTGCTGGCTGTCAGACTGCTGGCTGAGGCTGAACAGAGACGACGTCCACGTACAGAAGCAGCGGGGCTTCATGAACACAGCCAGCGGGAGCTCCTGCAAACCAGAAACACAAATGTTCTCCAGCTTTTTCTCTGACTTATCAATCTTATTTGAAGACCTATTTCACCCAAGGGTGATGTGTTGAATCAGATCAGCAGGATGGTCTGCATCACATATCTATTTCAATTTTTATAATTCAAGGTCAAAATCCTCAGTCAGAGCAGAAGGACAGACACTGCAGTGATTTTTAAAAATATTCTGCATAATCACACACACGGCTGAAATATATTCACAATGCAGTCACTGCCAAATGATGTGTAATATTTCCATTTCTGTTTTTCAATGAGACACAGCTGCATCAGTAAGATGTCAGTGAGGGACTCACATTATCTCATTCTCGTTAGCACCACATTAAACCTTAAATATTCAGAGAATCAAAGCAGCTTCATGCTCTCACATGTGATCTCCTGAGGGTGGAGACCGCAGCTCTCTGAGCCTCCAGCGACACTCTAAAGAGAGTCCTGAGGAGTGCAATGATAATCAGGTGTGTGATTTTAGAGGGACTGCTTCAAACCTTGTCTGTGCAGGTCTCGATGCAGGCCTGGATGGTCAGGTTGGGCTGAGACGAGTAGATGGGGAAGGTGGTGAGGGTGTTCTTCGGCAGCTTGAAGCAACCTCGATAGTGAACATTTCTGACTGGAGAGAAATACACAAATTAATCAAAGGTCACATATTAAACTGTTTTTTAACACGTTTAAATAAGTCTCAGAACTCCCCAATACATGTCTGTGAAGTGTAATGCCATAAATCCACTCTGATCCTGTATTTGATCGTACATATAAACCCCTCTATTTCAGCCCTGCTCAGAACAGGCTGTTTCTGTGTCTGTACCTTTAAATATGTAAATGAGCTGTGTCTGACCACGCCCCCTCTCTGGAAGGGTTTGGGTGGGTTGCGCTTTCTCGCTCCATGCCCTATTGTTTTACGGTGAGAAGGCAGACTCAGAGGGCAGAACAAACACCTAGCTGTGGGAGTGTCATCCACCTGGGGAGGGGTTACTGCCATTTGTGATGTCATGAAGGGAAAATCTCCAAACGGCCTGTTTGAGCACACATTTTCTGAAAAGTGGAGCAGGCAGAAGACGGAGAGGATGGACTTTTCTCATCATTGGGGGATTTATCGACAGGCCGGACACATGTTAGTGTTAGAGAAACATGGTGAAGTGTATTTTGCATAATACGTGACCTTAAAATGAATTATTTAAAGGCAAATATATATTGTTGTCTTGATGCCAAATACTGTCCCAGGCTATACTGCAGGAGTGCTTTATCTGTCTACTGTTGTTGACACACTATGAAGAAAAACAGAATTTCTCTAGTAAAACTTTTTCATCGTAAATAATTTCATAATAATCAATAAAAAGAAACACAAAGAAAGGGCTTTCTCTAAGTACAGGCCCAAAATGCCTTTTTTTACACATAATGTCCACATTACCTGACAGGTACACATACAAAATGTGCAAAAATGACTCAAAACACCTTATTTGTTTGAAAGATTATTGTGGTGGTCTGAAAATTAAAGTATTTAACAGTTCTTTTTTTATTCCTTAATTTGTCTACCTTTCGATCCCCATTTAGAATTTAGGATACAATTTCTGAAAACAACAAAGAGATAAAAATGTCTTGGTCTGTGAAGGCAGTGTGTATGTTAAATGTTAAATGTTGCCTCCACATGTCTTGGCACTGTGTTGGATAACATCATACGAGAGAGGCTTTTGGCTTCATCTCAATCATCAGAATCTAAAATAAAAAGTGAAAAAAAAGATAAGGGTTGAATGTGATTGACTGATTTGTTCAAAGTAGGGTTTACATTCCCTTAACTGTATCCTGGTGAGTAATGTATTCAACATTCAGCTGCAAATCTCCAGAGACACTGAAGAGACTGATCATGAATATTAATACTGTATATGAAATAAACTCCTTATATAATATATGTGACCTTGAAAACAGAACAGAGATGCATTCCTCTAAAGAACAGAAAAAAAGAAATGTGCATGAATAAAAATTTCCATTTTGCTGCTTTTTAATGAAGTGTTTGAATCTATAAAGAGCAGCATAAGAATATCTAACTGTGCAGTCACAACATACATGCTCCGTGTATTTCTTTTTCTTTTAGATGAAATGAACAGTGATGTTGGTGCTTCAATAGCTTTATGTGACCAGCCTAATGCAGGAGAAGGTAAAGCAGGAGACGTTGTCCTGGCAGCAGAAGTCGGCCTCTTGAGTCGACGAGCTTCCCCAACCGACAGCGAGGAGATCGGGCACTACTACCACCCGACGTCCCTCACACCCAGCCACAACCATCGGACTGTGTCGTCCCCACAACCACCCCCATCCTCATTCAAAGGAGAAATCCTTCCTGCATATTATCCACAGTCCCCCTATCACATTTTTCTTTTGTAACATAACAATGAGTAAGCTCTTTTAACTGCTTTGTGTAAAGCGTCTATGAATTGGCGCTATACAAAAAATGATTGATTGATCGATCGATTGGTAAATGGACTTGAGCTACACATTAACAAACTGATGGTAGAGGATGTAAAGTGTCCATCAGAAGTAATTAATCCCATTCATACCCCACCAACAAGGCAGCAGGAGCAGTTCGGGGTTAAGTGTCTTGCCAAAGGACACAGTGGACATGTTGCTGCAGGAGCGAACCCCCGACCTTCCATTTGAGAGACAACAACTCTACCAACTGAGCCACAGCCGCCCCTAACAGATTGACATTTGGTTTCCTGTGACAGACCCGGATACATAAACCTTAGTAAACCCCATAACTCTGTATCTCCACAGTTGCTGCCTAAAGAGGAAACTCTTGAGTGAAAATCATTATGTAAAAATTTGATCTAAATGTGACATTAAACAAAAATTCACCTTTATTATCAGCACTAATCATGAAATGGGACTAAAAAAAACAAAGCTCACTTAGGTGGACTATGTGACTCGACGTCTTTAACAACAACAAAAACGTTTTATGAACATTTTTGTATTAGAACATTTCTCTGTTTAGTTGTCCTGTTCTGCAACTTACTGTACTCTTTGTGGCAATGTGAAATGTGCCTGCCCAACCTAGGTGCTTTTTTTTTGTTTATTTATTTTTATTGTTCCTAAAACTCAACAATATTTTTTGAAAAGACAAAGGGTTAAATAGTTGAAGCTAATGGATTCCATCATATTTTGTTGAATCTTTAAGAAACCCTCTGAGGCTGTATTTGACATTTTGAAGTAGTGGTAGGAACAAGACAGTCCATTTGTTTGGGACTATTTTCAACCACAGATTAGTTAACACTTGATGCTGCGGCACCTCGGGGTGTCTTGTCTTGATGGTTATGAAAACTGTCATTCAACATAACAGACGGTATTGCTACAGAGGTTGACCTTTCTGTTGAGATCAAATCCATTTGTTTTGGCCACAAACAGCCATTAGCAGCACTGAATCTCCTCAAAAGCACCAGACTGCATTTACAAAAAAACATCTTTTTACCTTGTAGAACTCAAGTGTCGCTGGTTTATTGTTACCCGGATCACCAGGTTTGTTTGTGTTATCCTGTCATTGGATCCAAGCTAGCACCAAGGTCACACAATAAATCAAACTGATGGAGGCAGGGGGAGACCAGCTGCTCCGTGATTTTAAGGTACATTGTTGTTTCTTTTCAATAGAGTCTGGTGGCTTTGAGGAGACTAATCTGATTGACTGATGAATGTTTCAGGTAAAAAAAAAAAAGGTGTCTCTTTAGAAATCCACAATGATAGTTTAGATGATTGGAAACTGTCATTGGCAAAAACAGCACTATTTACTGCTGTCTTACTGTTTTGTAGTTGCCAGCTGAACATTTCCACCAAAGCAATCCCAAACAATTCTAAATATTTGTGCTTTAGATCCTAGAATATGTAAAGAAAAGGAATCAGGTGGACGTCTAATAGGAGGAAAGATCGGATCACAACAAACTGTGTCCCACTTAACTGAGCTCTAGTTTACAGAGAGAAAAATATCTAATTTAAAAAGAAATGTCCACCAGTTTAGACGTACCAGGTGTGTTACAAACAGCAGCAGAAATGTGTGTCGTGGTTGTAGTGGTGGTTATAGAGCTGCAGCTCCTGGACGAGACTAAACTCCCTCAAGTCCTGTCGTGCCCTGAGGATTTCATATACACACACCCTCTCCTTCTGCTGCTGCTCGTCTCCTCCTCCTCATCAGTAGAAGAAAGATCAGAGCTTTCTACTTAATAGTAGACAGGTACAAACATACTGTGAATCCATGAAGTAGATATTTCCCCCGACTATTGTTTCAGTCACCTAGCAACGTGCGCCGATGCTTTTTGGTCGTTTGGTTCCTCTTCTGCTCCACGGTGAATGCAGCGTACACCCTGTCCTATCTGAACAGCCCGTTAGGGACTGCTCATGGTTGGTAGTGAGATTTTATGTTCAAGTTTATAGAGATTTTGGAAACAATAATTTAGACCACACAATAAAAAGTGGTAATGGAACATTAATGTACATGTTTCTATATTTATTTAATGATATATATATATATATTTTGTATTATTTGATGTGTTTTCTCTGTTGTGTCTTGGGATATAAATGCAAATATCTCATGTGATCCTGATTTCACTCTTGAAGTGTAAACTAAGTTAAATGTTATGGTATTATTTTGGTTGATAAAAACGTGTAAGTATGACTGATGGAAAGCATGAAAGTAATAAAAATAATTCTAAAAAACAAAAAAGAAAAAAAAAGTTTTACAGAAGGTTTTTTTCATTGGTCTAGATTGTTAAATTTAAATTTGGAATTTATTTGTAAATCTGAGCAGCAACACGCCTCTTTCAGTCATTTGAGTAGAGGGTCATAATAATTCTGTCATAATTACTGATATCAGTGTTTTGACTGTTTGCAATCTGTGACTGCATCGCTGTTATTCTTTGAGCTGTTATCTTTTAACATTTTCTCCACTGATCTTGTTATTTATTTATATTCTCTTTTAGAGCGTCTCAGTTAAAAAGTTCAGTCGTATCTTCACTCTTGTGCGCCGCCCCCCTGCTGAGCGGTACCATGCAGAGAATAAAAAGCACTCAGTCCTGTGTTCCCCCCCCCCCTCAGGGGAGTCGACTCACACTTTCTGTGCCCGGGCAGCTGCTCCTCCACTTTATAAACCGAGAGTCGGCCCACACCGCCACAGGGAGACCCCCTCTCCCCCCGACACACCAGACTACAATCCTCCTCGGGAGCCTGAGGGCTGCTGATCCGGTTCCCACAGTGGCATTCAGCTCCATACTCCAGACCTGCAAACTGGTACCCACTAAAAAAAAAAAAAAACACACACACACGGAAGGACACACGGTTATTGCCAAGGCCGAGGGGGTCTGATTCCCTGTAACCATTACCCCCGGGCTAAACCCTCCCACAGGACAGAAGTTAACATTTCAAACTTAGCATTGAAGTCAAAGTGCAGCTTTAAACTCTGTCTGCTGTGCTGTTTGGATTCTGTCTTCCTCCTGCTGCTGTCTCACTGCTAGTCTCTCTCTCAGCTGAACCAGAGTCACCTCTGATCCATACTTTACATATCAAGGCTGTTGTGACTCATCCCCCCTCTTTACCCCCCCCCCCTCCTCAGGACAGACACAGTCCTCATCAAAATTGACCTTTTCATATATGTCCTTTGAAGCTTCCTCATAAATTGCCTTGACTTTTTACTTGTACTCATCGCAGTAATTGGCTCGCTCAGGTAACGAGTGCGGTTGCTCTCTGTGTGGAAGGGGGGGGGGGTTGAGAAGAAGGGGGAGCTCGATGGGCTCAAGATGAGAGCAACGTCTCACTCTCTCTATCTCTCTGTCTCTCTCTCTGACTGCCTCCATCTGTCCTCAGCTCCTCTGGTTCTGTGAAGCTACACTTCATGGGAATATGACAGGGAATTATTCAAAGCGGTCATTTCTTCAGTCTTGCTTTGAAATCTTCCACCTGCCGCTCCCTGTTTTCTTGAAAATTCGGCTCTCACTCACCCAATCCGAGGTTTTCAACTTCCCCTGAAAAAGAGATGAGAGCCCCTGATCTCCCCTGAACCTGTCCCCCCTAGTTCTTAATTTAGAAACAATTATATTATATGACGATGACCTTTGCTGCTTATTGACTGTTTGATTGGCTGGTTCTTATGATGTGATCTGTAATGTTAACATACTGTGTTCAGCAGATTATAGTAGAAACCCCAACAGCCTGTTCAATAAAATACTAGAAGTGGTTTGATTGGACACGAGGCATTTCCATGAGAACAACAACACTGGGACCTTACCACAGGGGCCGATAAGGGCCACAATGCTGCAACCGTCAAATGATTCTCATTAGACCAAACAGGCTGCAAATTCAATCACACATGTAAAAGTTAAAAAAAAAAACTCAACAACAGAAATCTGCTGTAAATGAAAAAGTGTTCTACAAAAACACGACACAACTGCATCAACAGCAAACATTCTGTAAATACAGAAGTGATGCTAAAACAAAAAACACACAAACTCAGAAAACAACTGCACAAGAAAAACGCTGATTAAGCCATAACAATGGACGTGCGCCAGGCCTGTAGGGGGCACACAGTGGAACAGTTTATTATTGACAGGAGACACTGCAGGTGTCATGGCACTGAACTTGTTATCTGACTACATAACAACAAGCTCTGTTGGATCTTTTGGACTTCTGCATGGTTTTTAAAATTTGAATAATTTCTGAATCTGCAACTTGTTTTACCTAATGAAAATCATTTGGGCTTTTGTAGTGGGACTTCCCTTGTCAGCCACCGTACTTTTGACTGTATGTCGTATCTCATAGACTGTAAACATTAATGGATGAAACCTGAGTGACGTCATCCATCTGTTACAGCAGGGGGCTCAGAAGGCTCATCGGTAGCCGACGCAATGCTGGAAATCCTGACTCAGTCTAACTTTCAGTCAACCTAACGACAGACTGAGAGCTGGAGCTGAGGCGGGTTTTAAGACTCTTAACGAACCGTTACATCACGCCCACCTGTCAATCATGTCAGCTACCCCCCCCCCCCCCGGGGTACAGTGTGTGTCAGTGATGACAATAACTAATCAGACTTTTTTTGTTGTTGTACCAGGCTGTAAACATGTTTATATCTGCTGTCATGAGTATGTGACCCCAGGTGTTCCTGGAGTCAGCCTCAAGTGGACACTCAATGAACTGCAGGATTGTGCAATTCCACATTGGATTAATTTTTCATGACCGGAGGTTGCCTCTTGGTATCACTGCGCAGTGCCTCAGGTGTTCTGAAGGCTGTTATTCACATTACAGCCACAGGTCTCTGTCTGATTGATTTAAGCTGGAACCTCTCATAGAGCGGCACTAGAGCAATGACCACCTGACTCTTATTTCACTGATTAGAAACACACCATTAAACATAATTTTATAAAGAAGAAAGAGTGCAGGAAAACGTTTTTGTCGCTTGGCAACAGTTCAGATTAAGTCAAGTTCCAGATTCTTGCTGTGATTTTCTTCTATAAATAAATGAATCACAGCGTGCTGATATTCAGTACAACAGCACCTCTTTAGAATGAGATTGCTTTAGGAAGGTGAGTGTATCATACATCAGTGGTGGAAGACATTGTGAGACCAAACATTAAAGATAACAAAGATCACTGCTTGAACTGCTGGTATTGGAGCCTCTGGCTGAAGTTACATATGATATGTTGAAGAAACTGTGAAGAAAATCAGAATTTCACATCATGTCACTGCTGCACAAGAAATCACATATCACTCCTCTGACTAACTCGCCAACTGCTGCCTGCAGCTCATTAAGCTTTCTAACACACACCACACACACACACACACTTCCCTCCTTCCTCCTCCTGCAACACATCAAGCCTTCTGTCCTGCTCCTCACACCCCCCCTCACACCCTCATCTTTTACTGTCATCCAGCCACCTGGCTCTCTGTGGCTGCAGACACAGGAGACCATTCATGGAGGAGCCTGAGATCCAAAGCGTTTACTCAAACAGCGGGCCCTCTGTGGTCCCCTTCACAGGAGCCTGAAGCTCACACATTACCTTTCTGAGCAGGTGTCCTGACACAGAGAGCTGGTCATTTTGCGCAGGTCATAAAGCATCGTTCCTCCCAGGGCTCGATCGGTGGCGTTGTGCAGGAAGCAGCCCATGTAGGTTCCTGTTGAAAAAAAAATCCAGAGAGAAAAAAAAATCACTTTAGAGGCCACGTGTGTGTTCACTGTTCAAAAGTGTTAATTGTAAGTCGTTGATTAAAAAGATGTTTGGGTTCCTATTAGACACTTTTGAATTCCCAGTGGATCACACAGCAGATGCCTCTCCTTGGAGCAGCCGTATGTAAGCCATTAAAATGTACACTATGTTTTTTAATTGTTTTCACCCCTTTACCTTGCTGTAAGATATCACTTTACTGAAACTATGTTTTTTACTTGAAAACTTTTCTATTTCTATGCATGCATCCCACCAATTTTTTTTTTTAACCCGTCTTTCACAGAAAACTAAGAGGTGTTGAACAGATTTTCTAACATTTGAGCAGTTATACTAATTAAGCACTATGATATCAATGCATACGTAATAAGTCGATTTTTAATTATTCAGTGAAATTAATTTTGTTTTGAATTTATTTGATCTCTTTGAGATGTTTCAGCCTCCCTCCTGCTTTTGTTCTTCATAAGAACTGTTTGTCATGCAGACACCAAAGCCTTCTGATACGTGATTGGTCAATACTCCTGCTCAGACTACAAACTATAAATGACAACCAGAATATTTCCCACTCTAACATCCAGACCTGAGCACAGATTCTATATTTTATGTTGTCAAATAATCCCAGAGTAACTGAAAAAATTAAAAAACAAGTGTTAACCTCACTTTAAGGACAAGTACGTACATTCATGTCAGAATTATTTTTTAAATTCATAATGTCTTTATTTCTCTGTAGATATAAAGATAACTCAAGAAGATTTTCTATAAAATTACAAAATAATTATTAAATATTCTATTTGTGGGGCGCCGGTAGTCTAGCGGTTAGTGCACACGCCGCACGTACCAAGGCCTTAGTCCTCTAGAGCGGGCGGCCCAGGTACGAATCTGACCTGTGGCTCCTTCCCTGCATGTTATTCTCTCTCTCTCTCTCTCTCTCTCTGATTTCAGACTCTAACCATCTCTAAATAAAGGCATGACAAGCCCAAAACCAAGATTTTTATTTGAATTTTTGAATTTTATTTTTTATTTTTTAAGACAAAGTCATTTTACTTTTACAAAACATTCACTAGTTAAATGTTCCTATGCTGTTGTCTTATTCTTAGATTTCCTCCATCTGTTTTTCTTTTTTTTGTGCTTGTTTCCTTTGTTTTTTTAAAGCCGACAGTTCGCTGTCCTGTAATAATCATGAACCTTTCTGATGCACTTTGTTCAGAAACCAGACACACAATGCACACACTCACAGCTAGCTGTAAATGGATGTTGACTCTCTCCTCTCTTTAACAAGATTTGGACTTAAACCAGACTCCCCTCAGTCCGAGGTCTGGCCCAGTTAAAGTCCTCTCACAGTGCCAGTGCAGCGTGGTCTTCATCACTTCCTCACAGTAATTAAACACACCAGCCTGCATCGTGAGCCATTATTTAACCAACTAATTTATAACATGATGGCGCCTAATTCATCATCCAAAACAGATTATTCATTTTTTTTCTGCAGTAAAGCGAGCCTATTCTGAATAAAAAGCAGCCCTTGTCTAAAGATGGATGTAACACATAATAGACCTCGACAGACTATTATGATGTGCAGGCCAGATTAAGGCTCCATAGAAAATGTCATCCAAATTTAGTCTTTGATGTTATCCTCGTCTTTGGCACGTTGCTGCAACAAACTCTGCTCAGCTGACACATTAAAGTCTTCTTCTTTTTTTAAATACCACTCTGTATGAGAAAAGAAGCATATGCGCTTCTTTTGTGTGCAGGCTTCATTTACATCTTGTCCCCTCGGGTCTGAGAGGGATATATTTTTAGTTTTTATGTTTCTAAGCATTCAGGCGAGGGTGGAGAAAAGGGATGGTAGTAAAATGTTTCGACCAATTTACATTTACTGCTGTTTGTCTCTTCTCCACTTCTGTTGTCTCCAGCTCTGCCCAGGTGAAGCTACTGATCGCCTAAAACAAAAACAAGGGGCACTTTCCCCTCAATGCTTATTTACTGAGTTCAGGAGGAGAGAGGCTTTTGGAGTTGGAGCTGCTGTGTCTCTCAGTCAGGGATTGTGGGTTGTTGTGTTTTGTTGAAATGAAACCATTCAGAGATTAAATGGCCAGGTTACACTTTGCTAGATTGAGAATACCCTGCATCAAGTACCATGCATTTAGAACTTTCATTTTAAACATATTTAAGTTGTATTTGCCTTCACATAAATCAAGATACTTCACCTAGTTATTGCAAAAACATTCACCAGAGTGCAGAGCATAAAGGGTTTTCATCTACAAAAATAAATCCTGAAATATAACCCACTAAGCACTTCAATAAGATTTGTAACAAGGGTAGGTATAATAAGATAAAGTTTCAGCCTTCACCTTTTCAGTCAAAATGTTCTTCTTGTCTTTTCATGAATGCACATGCCTTTGTAAATGTTTGTATTTTTCATTCTAGCATTTCTACACATTTCTTAATGGAAAACTTTATATGTTGACCAAAATAAATGACTACTAATTACTACTCCTACTACTACTTTGTGTCCTCCACACTGTTGAAACTAAACCTTTGCCCTTGCAACAGGTTCATGAAAGTCATTGGAGTTTATTTCAGGTCATTTTTCAATGGTGCCTGTTTGGGTGAATTTCCCAAACACAAGTGAGATATTTATGGCTCGTTCAAGGACACAGAGGACTCATCTGGAGCTTTTTAATATTTACTACCAGCATTAAAAACTTAAGACTGATGCCAGCTGGTCAAAGAGGATTAAAGAAAAGTTGGAGGGGTACATGCGACAAGGATTGAATAGAAGTGACAGCAAGGTGCACAGACGAGATGGAAGCGAGCAATGGAGCGTGAAATCTCTGGCAAGGCCGAGCATCAGCAGATCGAATTCATGATTCAATCAGTCTGCGATGTCCTCTGAAGCTCATCCAGCCAGTTGTGTTGGGGGCGGAGCTGAGTCACCGAACGACTGAGCTTCAGGAGGGGGGGAAAAAAAAAATCAGGAGAACACCAGCAGCCTAAAGCAGGAAGAGAGCGACCTGTCTGCAGCAGAGAGCATCTGAAGAGGCGTCATCAAGGTGAGCCCCCTCCCCTGCCCCCCGCTCGCCCACCCATCAGGCCGGGTCATTTCTTTAATCAAAGTGAAGGAGAAGCCCCAGGCAGCTGAAGCTCAGGGTTAATGGAGAGAAGCAGCTTGAATTCCCAGACATGATAGAAAGGAGTGCACTTAGGCCTGACACTGAGACGCTTTCTTAAACACTAAGACAGATGGCTGCGCTGAGCTGGTCCTCCCCGCAGGACGAGACGCTGGACCTAATGACACGACGGCCGAGAACGAGGACATGTGCAGCAGCAGCAGCAGCAGCAGGAAGCATGAGCGCCGTGTGTGTCCATTAAAGTGGGCTGAGGAGGGTTCACAGTCTCACTGCTGGGTGTCTTAATATCCTCACAGATGTGAGTCATCCAGACCTCAGCACAGGGGGTCAGGACATGGTGGGCTGACTGTTTTAATCCTACATATGTGTTAGACTGGATGTCACTGTTAGAGAGCATGGTGTCAGTATAGATAGGATGTTAAGTGGAGATTTTAGAAATGTGGAAAAAAATAAACAAACTACGACCAAATTGTTCATTGTGCTCTCATAATTAAGTTGAACTAAAAATGCATTGTTGTATTCTTGCACTATGGGTTCTTTTCTGTTGAATTGTATTTAATTATTTTTAGTATTTGTCATTTGTTATGTTCTTGCTGTTGTTTATGTTCTTCTGTGTTTGGTTTAGTTTGTTTTTGTTGTTTGTCGAAGCACTTTGTAAACCTGTGTTTTTAAAGGTGCTATATATATAAATAAAGTTATTGTTATTATTATTATTCCCAACTCTACTAAAAAGAATCTTGGTTTCTCAGGATTATCTTTCAAAAGAGAAGAACAGCAAGGATTGCCAGGTAGCCATTATAAGAAATTAGAAACAAGATTTTGGCTTTACTTTCACATAGGTGTCAACCACTTATTCATGCGATCCCAGTATGCAATCGTTATCCAAGATGGCGCCCCCTATAGCTGCCCCCCGTGTGTTGAATTACACCTTTTCTACACACAGTATTTCATTTAATGATTTTTCTTTTTCTTTTGTAATGTGTTGCTCAAGAGACTAGAAAGATGCCATATCAGTACAGTTCATATCTAATGTTCAGAATTTGGTTTGAACATTATTTGAATCACTCTTTTATCATAAGATGATTAGTAACATTGTATATTGTATTAACTAATCAAGATTGCAACTAATATTGGCAACCATATTTTCCACAACCACAAGCTGATAAACTTAAGTAAGAGTTCAGTTTAAAGATGCATGATTCCCTGCATGTAATGACATCATTATGTTTTTATACTTAATTGCTTCTGTACCTTAAAAAAAGAACAGAATACTCAGTCTGCCCTGAGCGTTGTTATTACATTTGTTCAGCAGAGTGCAGCATCACCAACCTCCAAAATAAGGTAAAACAACAATTATCAAAGCAGGAAGTCATCACCTAGAGGGAAATTAACTCAACACTACTACGTCTGTGAGTGTGGAGTAGTAGAGGAAGAAAATACAGATCATCATCATCATCAATCATTATTTGTATAGCGCCAATTCATAACAAGTGTTATCTGGAGACGCTTTACAAAAGAGCATATTGGATAATATGCAGGCAGGATTTCTCCTTTGTATTCCTCTCATTCTGGTGATGACTGTATCAGTATTTGTTTGTATCATGACATTCAAAACAACCATCTTCAGTTCTAATTATCTGAATGAACACAACGTTCAATAAATCAAACATGTTGTATCAACAGTGTGGCTCTAACTCTGCAGTCTCTGAAAAATATTCCTGACTTTTTGATCACCCCACGTATCTCTGGGCGTTTAAAACTTCTGATGTGAACTTTTCATAGCAAGGAATTTGTGATTCATCCCTGCGAGGTGCAACGCTTTCAG